ACTTGTTCATCCTAGCTGATATTATCCAAGGAGTTATCTTGCATAGAGACAGTTAAATTATCATGGATAATTTCTGTTGCCATAGTACTCTTTTCAAGAAAGTAGTTTCCATTTTTGTTAGTTGTTTTTTAGACGAAAAGATTGTTGTTAGTTTAGTTTTTTTGTTTTTGTAGATTTCAAAGATAAAAGTCTTATACTTTTTAGGAACAAGAGGGAGAGCCCCTGTTCTGCTACTGTTTTTAAAGTTAGTAAAGCCCTGAGTAGAGTTTATTTTGTCTTTTCAAAATTACACTTTTTCCTAAACGTGATGGTCAGGAGAGAAAGATCATCGATCTTTTCCAAAACTAAATTTAAAATTTATATATTTTAAAAAAATTTGATTTGAAAATTCTAAATAAAAAGATAATATAATCTTTAATAATACTATCTATAAAAATCTTGATCTGAAGAAGAAAACCTAAAGCAGATGATCTGTATAAACAAGAACTTTTAAATAAAAAAGATTTACTAATCTAGTTATTAATTGATCTAAGTATAAAGTTATATTATATAGAGCTTACTAGATTAGTAATATAAAAGAACTTGCAAAAGTAGATAAAACACTAGTGAAGTTATAAAGAGAAGATATTGAGATTGTATAAACTTTATAAAGATATAACAGTTTAATGATTAGTCTTAATTATAAGTGTTGGTCTTAGTTATAACAATATCAAATTAGTTATAAATAGAAATACAAAAAATTTTAATAGGTTTAGTACAAAATTAAAGATTTTTTATATGAATAAACTGCTTTAACAACTTAGTAATTTATAACATATTTGCATTAATGAAAACTAAAACAGTTAATAGAGTAGATAAGTAACTAGATATAAAAACTAATATGCTTAAGAGTAGGAGGCAGTATTTTAAAATTATATATAAATCTAATAGTAAATTTTTTTTATATTTAATTTTATGAAAATTTATATTAAGTAAACTAATTTTAATTATTAAGTAAAAATTGTAGAATAAGTCTTTTTGAGTCTAACAATAATAAAATTATTAAAATAAGTTAAAAACTCATTAAGATATGAATTTTTAAAAATTAGAATATAAAATTATAAAATAAAATTAACTAATAAGTTTATATAAATTAACTAATCAAATTCTTTATTTTTATATTATCTATGAAAATTTTAATTCATCTAAATAAACTTTATTATATATACAAGTATATTTTTTTAAAATAAAATAATATATTAAAAAAATTATTTTTAATATTAAAGTGAATATATATGATTCAGAATTTTATTAGTAGTATCAGTTAACTAGCATCTATTGATATAACAGTGCAAAGGTGATTATAGAAAGAATATACAATTAGCCACTCATATAACTTTAGTTATTGTCTAATTTAAGTAGTCCATCTGAAGGTTCTACACTAGTTGCTATATTTAGAACTTACCTGTAGAACCTTTATTTAAATACTCTGATCCTATATCTACTACATCCTATTAATAACTCCAGTAAACTAGTGAAGATATGCCATAGTCACTAAGTTATATTTAACTTTGTACTAAACCTACCAATGCATTTTGTATCACATACTTATAGCTCACTCAGTATTGCTTTAACCTAAACTATTATTTACAGTTAGAACTAATCATTAAACTGCTTTTACTCTTGTAAGGTTCATCTAAAATCTCAGTACCCATCTTTCTAATATCTTTTTCATTATCTCTTACTAACTGCTACTTAGAACTGACAGAACTTTCTAGACTTCCAATTCAGATAGCCCAGTATGGTATATCTTAGTATTTTTTTCCTTTAGCAATTTTGGCAGCCTGGTTGATTATATCCTTCTTTACATATCTTGCTATCTAGTTTATCTACCTATTTCTTTGAAAATGTTTTATAGGCTTTCATCAGTCTGACAGTATTGTTAAAACTTCTGTACTACCTTCTTATACAGGATTTTCAAGTAGGTTTCTGACACTTTAGTTTTTTTGTTCTTTGCACCTAGTGGTCTTATCATGGGTTTGTACTGAAATCTTATGCAATACCAGTTATTAACATTCCTCTATATGAGTATAATATTATACTTTGCATAAATACCCCAAAATCTTATTTAAAATAGTGCAACTGAAAGTTACAGATACACTAATCTAACTGATTAACAAAGACAGTTACCAATACATTAAAAAAATTTTTTTTTTAAATATTAAGGTGAGTACTTGTGACTCAGGATTTTATTGATAATACATTTAGCTAATGGTTGTATTACAACCACAGGGGGCAACCATGAAAAGAGTGTACAACTAGCCACTTGTACAACTTTAGTCATTGTCTAATTTAAGTAGTCTGCCTGAAGATTCTACACTAGCTGCCATACCTGGAACCTGCTTGTAGGTTCCCTATTTAACTATTCTGTTTCCATATCCACCCACTATCTACACCTACCAAGATGTTCTAGTCAATACCAGTTCAAATATGTCATGATTACTAAGTCTTTAAAGTGGTTCACTCACATGGCGAACCTTTGACCTTGTACTAAACCTTCCAGAATCTTCTGTATCCCATTCTTACAGCTGACCTGATATCACTATGGCCGAGACTAATACTGGTGGTCAGGGCATACTATTAAACTGCTATGCCCTTGTAAAGTTCACCCCAATCCTGGTACTGACTTCACAACATATCCTTACTACTTTGGTATTCAAATCAAGTTCCACCAAGCTGCTATTCCAGATAGCCTGGAAAGGTAGGTCGAAACCATACATCTCTGATTCACATGTTTGCCAGCATGTGCTCTTTTCCTCCAGAACTCGGAAATTCTAGCAGCCTGGCTGGTTCATCTGGTCCTTTCTTAAAAACCAGCACATTTGCCCAGTTTCACAAGTTCTAGCTCCATTTCATAAGTCTAGTCTTTACAGTAGCACTGTCAAAGGTTCAGGTTACCTCTCTACTCGGATCTTCCAAGTAGGCTTCCATCTTCTTATCTGGTTCCCTTAATTTACACAGCCTAAGGACTTATCTTGAATTTACACCACCTGGTACTGGTATGTGTTTCTTCATTAAATGTTGTATGAGTGCCTAGACCTTCCAGTTATGCTGATATAACATGGATTACAGGTATCTTATCCAACTAATCATGAAAGACAGTTAGCTGTAATACAGAAAGAATTGCAAATTTTCACTATCACTGGGATTTGAACTCTAGACCTGTCACTTGAGGGTTGACAACCTATCCACTTCACTAGGTCACTACACCTCTTATTAATATTCTTTTTTATTTACAATAATTACACAATATTATATAAATAATTAGCTTAAATTTTATTTAATCTAATTACTTTTATTAAATCATTATAAAACTGATGATTTTTGCTTATATATAATTTAAAACTTTAATTAATAAAAAAATCAATATAAAAATCAATTAATATAATCTTTACTTAATAAGAACTTAGTATTTAAATTTTGATTTTCAATTTTATATTTTATGTATTAATAAAAATAAAATAACATATTTATATATAATTTGAATAAAAAATTTGAATATTTAATATAAAATAAATAATATAAAAAAATTTTTTTAATTTTTTTAACATTAATTTTTGATATTGCCAGATAAGCTAAAAATTTTTATATATAAATAACCAATAAAACCAAATATAATAAAATTTAAAATTAAATGTAAATACTATATATAGAATTTTATAGCAATTTGTTAAAGTTTTAAAAAAAAATTTTCATATATATAATAAAAACATATTACAAACAAATATTATGTGCATTGTTTTTAAAAATTCAATAAGAGGATAATTTTTATGACTATTAAAAATTGATAAGTCACATCTTTTATAATCAATATAACATTTATTTTTATATAGTTAAGAAGCTTCACAAAGCAGACTTTTTATTTGCAAATTAGTTTGTTACTGTCCTTATGCATTTCTTCAATAAGAACATAAATACTAACAAATTTTTTTTAACCAAAGTATTCTAACAGTTGTGTTATGCCTCAACCACATTTTGAGTTCTCAGAAATCTAAATTTAACAAGATCATAAATAAACTAAAGTTTTAGTAAAAATAATAGTTAAGCACAAATTTCATTTCTATTTCTAAATTGATAATGAACCCTTTTATGAATATAATTAATTTCAAAATACTTGACAACTTCTTTAGCATTTGAAGGTAACAAAGATACAATTTGATTAAAAGCTGATGGAATTTTATTTGCAAGAAGAAATGCTAAAGCTAATAGGTATTATAATTTGATACTAAAAGTTTCATCATTTCCATATTTAGTAACTAATTTAGCAAATTGAATTTTTTTTCAAAGATTCTAACAAAAATGAAAATAACAACTTTTATTAATAGAATTTAGAAATTCAGACTGAGCTGCACTTATAGCTGCTTGTTTAAAATTCAAAATAATAATAAAAAGAGCTAAGTTATAATTAACTTCTGTATCTAGATTAATTAACTCTTAAAATAAATAGAAATAACTTTCTATATTTTTACTTGACATTAAACTATACATCATAGAAAAAATTTGTATATTATTTCTTCTATCAACTGAAATATAAATAGTATATAATTGTTAAAACAAATTAGACACTGTTTTAAATATACTATCTATAATTCAATAATCTGTATCTGCTAAATATTGAAGATTAGTTGAAGTATAAAAAATTATAATTTTATCTTTACTATATTCGATCTCCTTTGCTAAAAATCATTCATCTCTAATAGTTGTATATAATTCAGTAGAAATATCAATTTTATCTAATGATTGTGGTTGTAAAGTTGTATTTTATCTAAAAATATTAACAAATAAAATATGCCATAGTAAATAAAAGTACTTGAGGGTTTTTTTAAAAAAAACAAAAAAAAAATATTTTTAGCATATGTAATTTGTCTATGCAATGCATTTTTATTTGGCATATATGAAAAAGATTCTTAAGGCATATTAACAATAACTTTCTAAATAATCTGTGCAGGCTTATTATATATCTAAGATGCCATTTCTTTAATAGCATTAAGTGCTTGAATCATATTAGCACAGCTTGCTTCAGGTGCATGGTTATGATCATTAAACTTTATTAATACATACTTTTGTTCTTCTAATAGAGCTATTGCTCTTTCTATACAGTTACGAGTATTTTTATACTTACAATACTAGTAATATCTATTATTTCAGTTCTTATTTTTTACTAATAAATATTTATATGCAATAATTTTTGAATTATTATAAGTGGTATTAACTAATTGACATACTTTATGATCTATTTAGAGAGATAGCTAAATGTTTTAAAAGTTATACAAAACAAAAAAAATAGTAAGTATGATAAAAATAACTCTATTTGAAATATAATTTAATGAATTTGCAATATTAAAGAATTTAAAAATATGTTTTATTATATGAAAACTTTATGTATCTTAAGGTAGAAAAAAAATTCTTTGAGTTATTACAAGCCCAAATTCAAATTTGGTTTATTAATTTTATTTTTTTGTTTTTTTTATACCTTTTTTTTTTTAACTTGTTCTAACAGAACATTATATAATATTATTTTTTTTATAATTATAATTTGTTTTATATATTCTATTTACTCTACTCTAATTATATAAAGTACAAGAAATTTAAAATTATAATTTGAGGTTTTTACTATAACTTGTAACAGTAAGTATTTTCTTTTTTCTTATGTTTTATTTAATTTTTTTAGATTACTAATATTCTTTTTCTTATAAATTTGTAATATTTTTTAAATAATTTTAAATTTTCACATGTTTTAATACAGTCTTTCATACAGCTTTGCTATTTTTAGTTTTATTATCTCTTCTTGTAAATTTAAAACATCTGAATTTCTTTAAGTTTTAATATAGCCTTCCATATAGTTCCACTATTTTTAGAATTATTATCTTATAAATTCGAAGCATTATTTAAATTTTTTAAATTTTTATACATTATAACACAGTTTTTAATATAATCCTATTATTTTTAGTATTATTACCTTCTTCTTATTTATTATTAATACACAACTATAAATTTTAATTACTTAACTTTTTTGGTTAGCTTTTAAAAAATATTGTTAATCTTGCAAAATTATTAAATTATTTCTGAGATATAGATTACTATATTACATTACACATAGAATAAAAATATTGACTAGATTTACTAAATTATTAACTCAAAACTAAATAAGCACAATAAAAAAAAACGATTATTCTAATAAATTATCTAAATTGGACTAGTTATTATTATTATATAGCTTAGTTATACTACAAAAAATATCAGTTTCGTATATACTAGTACATATTATTTTATTGTATTAGAATACAAATAAAAATTTAACAACAGGGGTGTGGGTCCCATAGCTTAGCGGTTAAGCTCCCATGCCCCTACAGTCAAGGTCAACAGTTCAAGTCTGGCTAGAGACAAAATTAAAAGATTTAGTTTCTGTAACCCAATAAGGAGCCAGTAATTGAATGCGAAGCTCTGTGGTTAAGTCCAAGTGCAGTACATGACCAAAGTAGGAATTCCCAGAAGGAGACCCAATCATGAAGTGTAGACACTATGCGTAACAAGCGGTTGTTACAGAAGGTTACGGTTATGGAAAGATTGCACATGTAAGTCCTTTAGGCTA